CGCCTTTACCACTAACCAAAACCATCACATACCCAGGGCACATACCGCTTCACATGAGCGGTAGATTCCTCCCGTATATGCCATTTCTGAACCCACCTTTACAACACCTGTCACGGTTAGGGTGCCTTATGAAATTGACCAATACGCCAAAATGGAAAGGGAAGCTAGGCGTAATGAGAAGGAGTCATTGTCTGAGCAATTACAAGACTTGAGAAAAAAATTTAAGAACCTTCAAGTCGCTGGGGGGAGCAAAACTCTAGACTATGAGGATCTGTGTATCCATCCTAATATGGATATGCCGGCAAGTTACAAGCCTCCAAAGTTTGATATCTTTGATGGGACGGGTGATCCGCATGCGTATTTAAGAGCCTATTGCGACAAGTTAGTTGGAGTGGGAAGAAATGAGAAGTTAAGAATGAAGTTGTTCATAAGAAGCCTTATAGGGAAAGCACTTACTTGTTATACTCGACAAGATCCACGAAACTGGAGGACATGGAAGGATATGGTGGAAGATTTCATGAATCAATTCCGATTCAACACATAGATCACTCCCTATAGGTTTGAACTGGTGAACCTGCAGAAGAAGCCGTCCGAGTCATTCCAAGAATATGCACGTTGATGGAGATCAGAGCCGTCAGGGCACAAATTCCGTTGGACGATAGTGAATTGACTAAGTACTTTATCAGGGCCCAGGAAGGGATTTACTTTGAGAAAATGATTGGCATGATGGGACAAAGATTCCCCAAACTGGTCAAAATGGGAAATTTCATAGAAGAAGGTATAAAGTCTGGCAACGTACAATCAATGGCGGCACTGCAAGCAGCTAGTAAATCAATCTAATCAGGGTTAATAGGTAGCGGAAGGATGAAAAAGGAAGAGGTACGAGCAGTCGTCCCTTATTAACAACCCAATCCACATCATGGAAACACCTCGTATTCGCCAAACAACCATTCCCCACCACTACCTGCTTATGCTCCAGTCTATAATACACAACCATATAATAATCCCCAACCTCAATATAACCCATCTCGAGCCCATAACAATCCAAACCCACCACGACCATACGCTCATGTTCAAACTATCACTCATCAAAATCGACCCACCTATGCACCCCGACCTCGCCCAAAATTTGAAGAGAGATGTCCCAGAAACTATACCCCGATTGCTGAACCTCTGGCTCAACTGTTTGAAAGATAAAGGACAGCAAGTTTGATACATCCAATAGAAGGAAGGGTTCCTAAGTATTCAAAGTATTTTGATGCAACCAAAAATGTGTGTGTACGACTCAAACGTACCTGGCATGATACTGAAGATTGTTTCAAGCTGAAAAATAAAATTGAGTCATTGATCAAAAGCAGAGTCATTCAGTGCACTCCGCTTCGCCCAATTGGAACCGCTATCTGCTGCAAACTCACCGGAATCAAAGGGATAACATGATCACCTTAGATGAAAAATACGATTTGAAAGGAACCATTTTCAAGACAGGGAACGTTGAAGCTGCAAGAGTCCCACCTCAAAAGACTCTGATGAACACAGTACAATTGAAACCTACGGTGATGGTTAAGACTTACCAGCAACATCTCACCGCTGCTACCAGGGACGAAGAGGATCGGGAATACAAAATAATCCCTTGGACATATCAACAGAAGGGGAAAGCCAAGATGACATATTTTGCAGTGGCTCACGGTATGACTAGGTCGGGGAGGTGCTACACTCTTGAGGAAGTAAACCGAGGGAATCTGGGAAGGGAGAAGATTCAAAGAAGAAATATAATAGATTCCGAGGCCACAAAATTCTGGAAGAGGATGTCAACCATAGAGTACTCCTTGGAGGAATAATTGAATAAAACTCTGGCACAAATATCAATCATGGATTTACTGATTAGTTCTGAGAGTCATAAAGGCACCGTGATGAAAGTGTAAAGTGGGTGAGCATGTCGAGAAACACCACCAGTGAGGCACTAGCGGCGACCATTGGGAAAATTGTCGAATCAAATATGATCACATTTTGAAGAGTTGAGCTTCCTATCGAAGGCGTGGGTCACCGCAAATCTTTACACATCACTATCAAATGTGGAGATAAGGTAGTGTCCCAAGTACTAGTTGATGGAGTATCAAAAGTCAATATATGCCCGCTCTCTACTCTACAAATGTTAGGTATCCACCTGAGAGAGGTCAAGGAAAGTCATGTGAGGGTAAGAGATTTTGACGGGTCGCAGAAGGATGTATTTGGAGAAATTTATTTGGCTATGCATATCAGACCAGTTATGTTTCCCATACTATTCCAAGTGGTAGATATCTCATCTTCATACAACTAACTATTAGGAAGACCCTAGATACACATAGTAGGGGCCGTGCCATTTACCCTACACCGATGTATGAAATTTGAATGGGGTTGTCAAGAGATCATAGTCCACGGTGAACGGAGCTAGTCGGCTTTTCTAGAACATGCAGTCTCATTCATAAAAGGACTAGACCAGGTCGTTTTCCATGCAGTTGAGATCATATAGACCACCAAAATGGAAGAGACTGAGCAAAACATATGAATGTCGATTATGTTTGGATCAAAGATGACCATGAAGGAAATGATAAAATACAGATATAGACCAAGAACCGGGCTAGGAGTATGATCAGACTAGATAACAGAGCTGATTGAGCCAAATAAGAAAAAAGGATGAGTCGGCATACGGTATCAGCCTCCGGTTGGGAAGACTTGTACCGGTAGCTTCAGGAAGAAGGCTTTTGTGCCAGAGCATGTTTTGAGTACGGTCTAGAGCTCATCACTAGAGGACGACATCGTCGATGGAATGGGAAAGTTGTTCGTGACCATGATTGAGGAATGCTGTGAAGGAATTGATATCAAGACACCGACCATTCGGAATGCCAAACCAGGAGAGGACCTGCAGAATTGGACCGCCAGCCCGTCTTTGGTTTGCCGGGAGTCTTGGTAGTGTGGAATTGTAAAATTTTTGAAAAAAAGCGCACGGTCAATTGAAGCCTAAACCTTGCTTGTACTTTTTTGTCATTTGCCTCTTTGAACACTCAGACGTTCCTCTTTTGACGAATTAAAAAGAATTGCTTTCTTGAAATTACTGTAAATTTATTTATCTCTTTATTCATACTTAGTTTTTCTTTTTAGTAATCAAAACGATAAAAAAGCGCGTTCCGCGATTATGATATGTAGCGAAACCCTCGAGCAAAATGATCCAAATTACAAGGAATACGACGAGAGCATGATGCCAGGCAATCTCCCACAAGAGATTGAACAGCTGGAAAGCCAGAAAAATCCTAACCTTGAAGAGATAGAAGTGGTCATCCTCGGAAGCGAGCAATACATAAAAGAAACCCGAATCAGCATCCATCTAAAAGTAGATTAGAAGCAAGAATTGGTTGAGCTCCTCCGACAATACATCGATGTATTCGCATGGTCATATGATGACATGCTGGGGTTAAGTACTGATATCTTTTCGCGTCGATTGCCTACCGATCTCGCTAGACCACCAGTAAAAAAAACCCTGAAAATTCAAGCCTGACCTAAGTTTGAGGATAAAAGAAAAGGTAACCAAGAAAATAAAGGGGAATGTACTAAGGGTAACCAATTATCCCACATGGTTGGAAAATATCGTCCCAGTACCCAAGAAAGATGGGAAGATTAGGATATGTGTGGATTATCGAGATCTCAACAAAGCCAGCCCGAAAGATGACTTCCCTTTACCAAACATTCATATCCTCATCGACAACTACACGAAGCATAAATTGCGGTCGTTCGTGGATTGTTTCATCGGGTATCACCAGATCCTGATGCACGAAGAAGATGCAGAAAAGACAGCCTTCACTACATCTTGGGGAGTTTACTGCTATAGAGTCATGCCGTTCGGTCTCAAAAATGCTTGTGCTACTTACATGAAGGCTATGAGGACCCTCTTTCATGACATGATTCACAAAGAGATCGAGGTATATGTGGATGACATCATCATCAAGTCTCAAAAAAGTTTAGAACATTTGGACGACTTGTGGAAATTTTTCGAACGCTTGTGGAGGTATAGCTTGAAGTTGAACCCTGCAAAATGTGTGTTCGGAGTCCATGCTGTAAAATTTCTAGGTTTCATCGTAAGAAGAAAAGGGATAGAATTGGATCCTTCAAAGATCGAAGCCATTCAAGAGTTGCCACCTCCCAAGAGTAAGAAGGACGTGATGAGTTTCCTGGGTAGACTAAATTACATCAGCCATTTCACAGCCCAGTCTATAGTAACTTGTGAACTTATCTTCAAGCTGCTTAAGAAGGATGCTGCCACAAAATGGATAGAAGAGTGTCATAAAGCCTTAAATAGAATTAAGGAGTATTTGTCAAATCCACCAGTATTGGTTCCTCCCGATTCTGGAAAGTCACTGTTGTTGTACGTGTCGGTCTTGGATAACGCATTTGGATGTGTGTAAGGATGACGGGATGAAACCGAAAGAACAAAGCATGCCATCTACTACTTAAGTAAGAAGTTCACACCATGCGAGGCCAAATACACTTTGATAGAGTGCACTTGCTATGCTCTGACTTGGATCGCCCAGAAATTGAGGCATTACATGTTGGTATACACCACGCATTTGATATCTCGGCTCGAGCCGCTCAAGTATATTCAAAAGCCAATGCTTACAGGAAAGCTAGCTAATGTTCTTAGTGGATTTGACATTATGTACATAAAACAAAAGGCCATCAAAGGACAAGTTTTAGCCGACCACCTTGCACAGAATCTGGTAAACAAGGATGATGAACTACACAGTATGTACTTTCCCGACGAGGAAGTGTTGTTCTCCAAAGAAGATATCATAGAGTCATACCCTGGATGGAGAATGTTTTTCGACGGAGCGGAAAATTTCAAAGGAGTAGGAATTGGGGAGGCAGTCCTAATTTTGGAATAAGGATAACACTATCTAGCATCAGCGAGGATAAGATTCCCTTGCACCAACAATATGGCCAAATACGAAGCATGCATCTTCGTGATCAGGATGGCAGTCGACATGGACATCAAAGAGCTTTTGGTCATAGCGGATTCTAATCTATTGATACACCATGTCCAAGGGGAGTGGTCCACTAAGAACGTCAAGATCCTTCCGTACCTGCACTGTGTAAAAGAGTTATGCAATAAGTTCACAAATATTGAGTTCAAGCATGTTCCCAAGATCCAAAACGACTTTGCTGATGCTCTTACAACCCTGTCATCCATGATTCAGCATCCATATAAGAATTATATCGTCCTTATCGAGGTAGAGATCAAAGATCAACATGCATATTGTTTTCATGTAGACGAAGATCCAGAAGGTAAACCATGGTACCACGACATCAAAAGATTCCTCGAAACAAGAGAATACTCGGAGAGTGCTACTAATAGTCAGAAGCGAGCGCTCAGGAAGTTGGCAAATCACTTTTTCCTTCACGAGGAAGTCCCCACCTGAACGGTTTCACCTTAGCCAAGAAGATCTTGAGAGTCGAATACTTTTGGATGACCATGGAAAGCGATAGTACCGCTACGTGCAGAAGTGTCACCAGTCTTAGATCCATGAGCATTTCATCCGCGTAACACCTAATGAGTTGAATGTAATGGGTTCGCCTTGGTCATTTTGGGGCATGGATGTCATTGGACCAATAGAGTCCTCTGCATCAAATAAGCACCGTTTTATCTTGGTAGCCATTGACTACTTCACCAAATTGGTCAAAGCATCTACCTACAAGGCCGTCACAAAGAAGGTAGTGGAAGATTTCGTCCAAAACAACATCATTTGTCAATTTGGGATACCCGAGTCAATCATCACTGACAATGCTGCTAATCTCAACAGTGACGTCATGAGAGAAATTTGCGAGAAGTTAAGAATTGTCCACCGCAACTCCACGGCCTACATGTCAAAAATGAATGGGGTAGTTGAAGTAGCCAACAAGAACATCAAAAGGATTCTACGGAAGATAGTGGACAATCAAATGCAATGGCACGAGAAGTTATCCTTTGCCTTACTGGGTTATCGAACAACCCTAAGAACATCCACTAGGGCAACGCCATACATGTTGGTATATGTCACCGAAGTTTTGATACCCGCAGAGGTTAAGATACCATCCTTAAGAGTCATCCAAGAAGCCAAGTTAGACGATGCAAAGTGGATACAGGTCAGACACGAACAACTCATGCTCATTAACGAGAAGAGAATGGATGTTGTATGCCATGGTCAGCTGTATCAAAATAGGACGGCCAGTGCATTTAACAAAAGGGTGAAGCCTCGCTAGTTTATACCGGGGCAATTGGTTCTGAAAAAAATATTCCCCCACCAGGAAGAAGCCAAAGGAAATTTCGCACTGAATAGCCAAGGTCCTTACGTGGTCCACCGAGTGTTTTTGGGTGGAGATCTAATCTTGGCATAAATGGACAGAAGAGTCAGCACGAAACCTATCAACTCAAACCCGATCAAGAGATACTACGTTTGAAGATAATAGAGTTATGGATTGGTTATAATAGAACTACGCTCAACCTGACTTCCCACGTAGGGATGCGTAGGAAACCCACGTAGGGTTCAGTTTCTCACCCCCGTTTATTTTGTAATAGAAAACCCAAATATTATTTTGTATGTTGCCCGAAACTACGCCACGACTGGATTTCCTTTGGAAGGAATACGTAGGCAATTCTCATCGGATTCAATCGTCTTTTGTAATTGAACTACGTTCTGGCCTAATTCCATTTGGATACGTAGGCAGTTTGAGTCAGGCTCGGCCATTCCATATTTAATCTCATCATTTTTGCATCTGTTAAAATCGAACTACGTTTTGACCTGATTCCATTTGGATACGTAGGCTGCATGAGTCAGGCTCAGTCATATTCATCATATTTTCTTTATCATCATCCACAAACTACGTTAAGACCTGATTCTATTTCGGATACGTAGGTAACCTGAAAGGGTTCGGTCATAACCCTAGAAAACCTTTGTAATGCATTAGTTCAGATTCAGACGCAATCACAACGACAAACAGCCACGTCATCAGAAGCATCGTGGGAGAAACGACATCAACAGGATAGATTTTCCAAGAAACAATGGTCGCATTTAGAGAACTTTCGAAACATGTCATGATCCGGAACGACGACATATTCCATAAAACAAAGATTTTCGAAATATATTTTCTAACTTTGTTCCACCTACTGAACTTCATGGCATAGCCTCAAAAAGACCGGGGTGAAGCCAGGATTACGATCGACACAAACCAACACCCCCCATGCTAAGAATTTTTCTTTCGAGTTCAGGGCCAATAGGACATATGGAACTGCTAGAAATAAACTAAGGCAAATGATGGATCCGCCGCTCTCTCAGTCATCCGTCTTTCTCCTTTTCAAATTTTCTTGATATAGCTAAAACTAACTCTGAATCCTTTGTAGGTATTTCAAAATCAGACTGCTAACGCAAACAAGGCATATTTTACATATCAAATCGCCAGCTCAATCAATCGGAGCACCTTGTACAAAATGAGTCGTCAGCTTCAACAATTAGATCCTTGTATATAGCAAATCGCCAGCTCAATTAATCCGAGCACCTTGTACAAAATGAGCCACTAGCTTCACCAATTGGAGCCTTGTTTATAGCAAATCACCAGCTCAATCGATCGGAGCGCCCTATACAAATCAAACATCGGCTTCGCCAATCAAAGCCCTGTATATAGAAATATGTTCGCTCTACCAACGGGATTCATCCACACTGTCACTACGTCACATCAGAGACCAGAATAAATAGCTACAAATGTTGTCGCCAACATTCTACCAACTGATGGCCCCAACTTAGTCTCACAGTCAAGAGTATTTCTTAGGCATGCCTTTTACTTTATTGTTATCTTGAATGTTTTGACGTTTTGCTCATGCAGCTTACAGGCATAACTATATTTTTCAGTGCAAATCTCTCCCAATAAGCGAAGACACACTCTACAAGTAAATTGCTCCCATCAAGTAGAGATATTTTAAATTTCGGTGCAAAGCTCGCCAAACAAGCAGAGATGCACTCTACAAGTCAATCGCTCCTATCAAGTGGAGATACTTTCAATGCAAAACTCTCCCAGCAAGTGGAGATGCATTCCACATTACAAGTCAATTACTCCTGACATGAGGAGACTCAATGCTCCGGCAGCTGCGGAACGGTACACAGCCCGGCTAATAATCGAGTCAAATTCAAGTATCCCATCATCCCGACCCCAAATAACAGCTCGCTGGCAGCCAGGCATTATCATTCCTGCACATTTACATCACATCTTAACATATTCTGCATTGCAATATATGGGTATGTGTGTATTTAATTTTTTAGGAACAAACATAGCAACGTGGAAATTCTTCTAAGCAGCAAACCAAACTACAACGCTATAAGAGACAACAAATGTCATGCCCCAACCTCGAGGAGTGTGATTAGCGCTCAACCGAGATACCCCGGTCGAGCAAGGCTCCACAATGCTGTCTACCAATCTCACCCAAGAATAAAGAGAAGATACATTTCATTAATTAAATAATAAGAAGGTCACGCGAACAATACCATTTCATTACTATTGGCTACTCCATCTATAAGTCTCAAAATACATTACACATTCATAGTTTGAAGTGGAACGTGTGATATAAATACAACATTTTTAGTTTGACTTTCCTAACACCAATATACAACCTACACCATGTCTACGGAGCTTCTAACACAAACCAAAGAGTGTTATAACAGTGTCGGCAACAAAGCCCTGGCTATACCTCAAAATGCTATGTACAAAGGACAAAAGATAAAGGACCCCAAAATGAAGTTGGGCTAACCAAGTCAGCTGAGGAGAGGGTGTGCTACTATCACTTATCAATACCACCTGCTATGCAACCACCTGCATCCATTAAAGATGCAGCGCCCCCGACAAAAAGGGATGTTAGTGCATATGGAATAGTACTAGTATGTAAAACTAAACACCCTCTCAATAGAATGAGTAACAGTAAACGGAGAGGGAAATATGAAATCAATAAGACTCTCAAATAGTATCAAGGTGTCAAGTTAGGGGAAAGGTAAATTTCAAGTAAGTGTCAATCTTCTTAAGTAGGGAGATCTTTAGCACCGATACACCACCGTGTTTTTAGCACGGAGTCCGATCTCAGCTCGATCGGCTAATCTGTCTCACCCCGAGACATCCACTCACAATATCACCATATGCGCGGCATGACGTCCGATCTCAGCCCGATCGGCTAAGCCGTCTCACCACAATGACGTGGGGGTCAAAATTACATCACATATCGCTAGCAATCATCTCATCCCATTTAAGGGGAAACATCTCAACACCTCAATCTCATCCCTTATAAGGGGAAACAACCGCATCACATTAACACGAGGATTTACCCCTCAATTACTCCTACACCGGACGTGTAATTTCGGGGTTAGGTTATTTCGACCTACCCTTCCTCGGTGGCTAAATGATACTCCCAAAGCATTTATTATTTAAAGGATTTACCACTGATTTCATAATCTTTTACATATCGTTCATTTCATTGGCACCAATGGCCATAACACAATATCATTCTTGGCACGTTGGCCGTACTTCATAGTTCGTACTCCCTTCATTCACTTTCAAATATCATCATGGGTCATCAACAACAAGGCTTTTCAAATTAAGACTTTAAATACACATGTGAGCAAATAAGAGTCTTAGGCATATAGAGATTTCTTACACAATTTGGCATAATAACTTTCATTTGGGCTTGACTTGAAGTCACAACATTTTAATACATAACTCATAATTAGAACAAGCTCCCGAAGAATAACATAACATGATAGAATATCCGGAACACATTTTGAACATACATATATGTGTGTGTGTGTGTGTATNCTTGTTTGAGTTTCCTTGAATTACTACAATGCTTCCGGAAATCTTAGCAACTTCGATCTATTTGGAAATATAATAAATTTGAACACAAATTAGGAAGGAGTTCACGGGTTCAGCTCATTTGAGCATTTTAATAGGCATTATAATTCCAAGGTCCTCCTATGGTGGATTCCTTTATCCCACTACCCAAAGTCTACCCAATTGATCTTAACAACCTTCCCACAAAACTTAATAGTACATGCATGCAAAATGAACAACTCCCACACCCAAGAATTGCTTTTCTCATTACCTATTTTTAGTTAAATCCCGAAATTGAGGGTTAGGGAGTAGAATCTTACCTCTAGGATGAAGACCTAGTAAGTTTTCCTTGTTAATTCTCCAAGCCTTGAGCAAGAATTGATGAAAATTTAGTTTAGGAACCCCCTCTCACTCTAAAGTACTTTCTCACTCTCAAAATATCAGATTTTTACTTAATAAATGGTCCTTAACGTCTATATATCGAAGTAGGGTCGGGTTATAAAAACCAGAAAATGGACCCTCCGAACACTGCTCTGTGGTCGCATATTGGACCATAGAACGGATATGCGGTCCGCAA